TCTATTAGCAAAATCTCGGCGCTGAAACATGCTTGGTTGCCGAGTTGAAATACCTGGACAGACGAACACACACACACAAACATACACACACATACACACAGACAGGGTCGTCCCAATATGCGTTTTTGCAATTTGCATATAGGCAAAAATGCATAAAAATGAAAATGTTGCTAGAGCGGTGATTCGTCAAAAAATCCAAATATGTAAATGAACTGGATGTTGGGAGAGGATGAGGGCGGTCGTTCGCTGCAAAATGCACTCGTTTCTGAGTCTGTGATAAATTTGGGTATTTCTCATAACCATCTGCTGGAATTTGACTTCCAAGCAGAATTAAGACCACACTTGAAAGTAGATCATCCTAGCAAAGTTTCAGTCTCGCACATTATGCGGTAAGCGAAATAGCCACTTCGTTACAAATATCTTTGAAGTGCCCTAAGTCGTAGCGCAATCGCAAATCGGAACTCATTTTAGATATACTATTTCCCATTTGAGATAAATATTCTGACAAAATTTCAGCCACTGTTTTCCGGCTAGTTTTCGAGTTAGGATAATGCCAGGTGCAAACTTTGACGTGACCGTACACGCTGTACAAGCGTACGCAATGGCTGAATTTGAAATCTTTAGCTCACCAAGCACATAGAATTTCCTTGCAAAGTTTCAGCGCTCTATCTTGGTTTCCAAAATCGCTTCCTGCTAAAGAAATTTGCATACTTTTTTCGGGGGTCCGTACCGCGAGATGTAGGCGCGTATGAGGGTGAATCTTAAAGCGAGTGGGTGACACACGGGATGGGAAAATATGTCCTCAAAGTTTCAACCCCCCAGCTTTCACGGTTGCTGAGTTGAAAGTGGGTGACAAAGTTCACTCGCTTCCGAACACACGCACAGACGTCCTCTCGACAGTGTGCGTTTTTGCTCGCTGTAGCAGCGCAATAGCACTGCACAGCAAAAACGCATAATAAATAATGGCGAGCACTGGAAAGCCGGTGCTTTCATACGTTTTGTGCAGTTTAGACCAGCGGACGTTTGCCTCCTAAGGAAGCAAACACATTTTAAGCACCGTGGGAAGAAATCACAAAGCAAATGCTTTTTTCGACAACGAGTACTTATAAGAGTGAGTTATCGGTGTAGTGACCTGTGCCATCGTTGAGGTACTACGCTTTTCCCTTGCCGTTGAGTAGAAAAATCATTCGGTTCAGAACTTGTTTTGATGGTCAACTGATACTGGCATTTTTGGCATTCAAACCAAGAAGCACTACTTTTGCTCGATTAAATGCTTTGAAGTACTTTCCTCGCAAATGAAATGTGGGAGAGGTTTTGTTCATTTATGAGACAGTTAATTAACGTCTGCTATTCAGATTTCTAGCAAAAAATTTTCATTTTCCGCGTAACTATGTGCAGGATGGATCTCAGTGAAGGAAATGAAACCAAAATAAGCCGGAGTAACGAAGGTAGTGTGAAGTGTCGGTATGCAGATTGCAGAGAGACGACGTTGACAGTTACATCTGTCTTGGTCAAGGAATGAATATGTTTCAAGCTGCCGGAAATCACAACTAGAGTGCGGGTGATACAAATTTTGTAGCATCGTCAAAGTTCTCAGCGTGTCACATCGGAAGAACCGTGCATGGATGTGAAACGTGACCGCTGACGAGAGCGAAGAAGCATACGTTGAGTGTAACGGGGAGAATGATATAGCGTCTTCGAAATTGTAAAAACAGTCGCTCTTTTCTTTGGGTAAAAACGTACAGGATATAATTCTGATCGCAAAAGAAAGGAAATATCTAGTGAACATGACATATTATTGCTCATGTTGGTAGCAGCCCGAGGGCATCGCGTATCAGTAAGTGTGGTACTTGCGAGAAAAGAAACAACCACATGGGCGGCCTTCAGACAGATGGCATATGGTACTGGTGTCAGATACTATCTGGAAACGTTCAACACTAGACTCCACGCCTACAGCAGCAGTCCAGGCATTCCTGATAATCTCGTTAATAATTGC